CAGTGGTAGAAGACACATGAGTTAGATTTAAAATGACACAAGTTTGAATTACAGATCCTTCCATGGCTAATGTGTTGCTGGGTTTAGGCACGTCTACTTAGAAATTTTTTACTTAATAATTCTCATGTCTTACTAAGAGGCAGAAAGCTTTACATGTCCATTCATTCATGAATCCCAGTCATTCTCTAAGCAAACATTTCCTCAGGCCTTTCAGTGCCAAATTCCAGGATATGGAGGTGGGGTTGACCTTTGTGGGTACTGTCAAGAGAGCCTGAGGTAGGGTTTCCAGGGTGCTATGGGCATGTAGAAGTAACTGATAGATAGGCTTAGTAGATACCACAGGAAGCTTCTTCCTTTTGGCACAAGGCTTATTTGCCTTGCTTGTTTAGGACTCTCTAGATTTATAAACAGGAGGACTTTGGGGAGCAGCTTGGAAAATTACCGCTTAGTGAAAACCTCCACAATTCAGATAATTGTCCTGATTTTTCTCAACTGCCCAAATGTAGGCCAGGATTAAAAGAGGATATGCTAAAATGAACATAGTTTCTGAGAACATATTTTAAATGTTTTCCTTAGGTAATTAGTATTTCTTAAAAATTCCAATGTTTTACTTTTTTGACCAGTTCTGGGTCTTAAACTCAGAGCCTGGGCACTGTCCCCAAGCTTCTCTGGGCTCAAGGCTAGCACTCTACCACTTGAGCCACAGCACCACATCTGGACTTTTCTGTTTATGTGGTACTGAGGAATCGAACCCAGGACTTCATGCATACTAGGTAAGCACTCTACCACCAAGCCACATTCCCAGCCCTCTCGTGTTTATTAATTGCATATATTATCTTTCAAATATCCAGTGTAAATGTATGTTTGTTATTGGAAGCATAAAGTATGAATCTGGTTTTTAACTTGTTTATTTATATTTGTGTTGCTGGGAACCAAACCCAGGGCCTTGTACATACCAGGAAGGTACTCTACTACTGAGCCAACCCCCCAGCCCTTAATTCCTTTTTTTCTTAAAGCTTTTGAAATTATTAGGATAATCCTGAAAACAAGGGAAAAAGAAAGAATTGCTGGTGGCTTATGCCCATGATCTTAGTTATGCAGGAAGCTGAGATCTGATGAGCCACAGTTTGAAACCATAAAGTCAATGAGACTCTTATCTCTAACCATCAGAAAGCCAGAAATAGAGCTGTGGCTTAAGTGGTAGAATGCCAGCTTTGAGCGGAAAAGCTAAGGGACAGTGCCCAGGCCTTGAGTTCAAGCCCCAGTACTAGCATACAAAAAAAGAAAATGTAAATAGCTAATATCTCCATTTCATTAAAAAATTGTGTCTACTTGTTCTTTGCTTAAAAAACATTATGGGGGATTGAACTTCAGGTCTTGTTTTTATTTTTTGAGATAGGGTCTCACTAGTCTGCCTTCACCTCTTGGATATCCGAGGTAACAAGTGTATACTACCATGCCTGGCTACTTTTTTGTGGGGGTGGGGGTCAGTCTCTAGTTTGAACTCAGAACCTCCGTGCTACCTCTGAGCTTTTTCGCTCAAGGCTAGTGCTGTACTACTTTTTTTTGGTCGGTCATGGGGCTTGAACTCAGCCTGGGCGCTGTCCCTCAGCTCTTCAGCTCATGGCTAGCACTTTACCTCTTGAGCTATAGGGCCAGTTCTGGTTTTCTGGTGGCTTGTTGGTGATGAGTCTCATGGCCTTTCCTGCCCAGGCTGGCTTTGAACTGTGATCCTCAGATCTCAGCCTCCTGAGTAGCTAGGATTACAGGTGTAAGCCACCAGTGCCGGGCTAGTGCTGTACTACTTTGAGCCACAGCACCACTTCTGGTTTTCTGGTGGTTAGAGTCTCACAGACTTTTCTGCCTAGGCTGGCTTTGAACTGTGATCCTCAGATCTCAGCCTCCTGATTAGCTTTATAGGTGGGATTATATAGTAGGATTATAGGTGTGAGCCACTAACAACTTACTGGCTTTTTTTTTTTTAAAGTAGAAGACCTAGTTCTTCAAAGGGGACAAAGATAAGAATTGCTGGCCAGTTGGTTGGCGCATGGTCTACCATGATGTCGAGGTATGTGAAAATACTATCTTTGACCTTTACTTTGTTCTTTCTGAAGTGAGGAATTGGATGAGCTGCACTACCAGGACACTGACTCAGATGTGTTGGAGCAGAAGGACAGCAAGTGCAAGGTCAAATGGACCCATGAGGAGGTGAGCGTCACCTTGGTTCCATGGAATTGGGGAGGAGAGAGTAGCTGGCAATTGGGAGACTGGCCCCAGGTGAGCCTGAGTGGCTTCTTTGGGAAGAGGAGGAAGTGCCATTTTGAAGGCTAGTGAATCCTCTACCCCTCTCCCTGCCCCTCTTCAGCATTCTGGGGACTCCTAAATCTTTAGGTGGAGTAGGAGGTTGTGTTTTGGGAACTAGTCCCTGTGTATGCTTCTAGTCCTTTCTGTTCTAACAATACCAGAGACTGAGTAGTTCATCTAGAATGAGAGTTGATTCCCCTTGCCATTGTGGTGGTTGGGAGATACAAGGTTTGTGGGGCACTTCTGGAGAAGACTTCTTGCTGGCAGGAGAATGCTTGTCCCCAGGCCTCACCTGTGTAGAACATCATGTGGCACATACCAAAATATAGCCAAATTGGCTTTTACAATAGACCTGCCCTCAAGATCTTAACTCTACAATCCAGGAATCAGTAATGAAGGCATGAGGACAGAGGCCTCATGACCTAATCACCTTTTCAAAGGCCCACATGATCACATCTCTTAATACCTCACCATGGGTACTAAATTTCAACATGAGTATTGGTGGGAATATTTGAACAGTAAACACCTTTTTGACTAAAAGGAGTTCAACCAAATCCGTGACTTCCTTTTTGTGTGTGTGGTGGGGTGGGTTTAGTGTGTCAGTTTTCAATGTGGGGCTTGAACTCAGGGCTTGGGCATTGTCCCTTAGCTTTTTCTGCTCATGGTTACTGCTTGAGGCATAGTTCCACTTCCAGCTTTTTGGTGGTTAAGTGGAGATAAAGAATCTTACAGAATTTTCTTGCCCGAGCTGACTTCAAACTGCAATCGTAAAATCTCATCTTCCTGAATAGCTAAGGTTTCAGGTGTGAGCCATCAATGCCCTTTTGCCTTTTATTTGTGCTGGATCTGGACTCCCAACTCTCCATTCTCTTGTCTACTCCTGAGTAACTAGGATTATAAGTAAAACCACTATATCTAGTGCCTCCTTGTTTTAAAAAGAAAAAAATTAATTATATCCCTCCTAAGTTTACACTCAATTGATTTTTTGTTTTCTTTTTAGGTAAGTTTTCAATATGTAGCCCAAGTGGCTTCATCTATTGAAGGATTTATGACTATTATTTAAGTATAATTTACATATAGTCAAACCTTTTTTACTTTATTTAAATTAATTTTTTTTTTTTTTTGTGAAAAAATCTGGGCTTGAACTCAGGGCCTTGCATTCTCTGCTCTGCTCTATTTACTCATAGCAGTCATTCTACCAGTTGAGACTGACCTTCAGTTTGACATTTTGCTGGTCAATTGGAGATAGAATTGCCCCAACTTTTCTACCTGAGCTGATTTTCAACCATGATCCTCAGATCTTACCCTTCTAAGGAACTAGGATTATGGACAGCAGCCTGTTTATTTAAAAAATATTTATTGTTATTACAAAGGTGATGTAAGTCACCTTGCTACACAAGGTAAGGAATACATTTCTCTTTCTCCTCCCTCTCTCATTTTCAATGCACCTTTTTACAATGAGAACAGTTACACTGTCTTGACAAAGGCATAAATTCATGTAAACACTGCTGATCATTCCTGAAGTTCTTTAGTGTGCTTCGTGTTTAAGTGGCTCCAGCTCCAGGCAATTGATGAACTAAACTCTCAGATTAAGTTGCCTGTTCTTGAATGTAAATGGAGTTAAATAGTTGTTCTCTTTGTGCCTTCTTTTGCTCAGTATAATGTTATATGATTGGTCTCTTTGGGAGCACAGTACTGGAGTGTGAATTCATCACCTCAGACAGGCACTCTTCTACCACTGAGCCCTTTCTTGAGTGGTCATTTTTAAGGGAAGTTCTCTCAGGCTTCCTTCCTGGGTTTCCTCCTGGACTTCAGTTTGACAGTTCATGGAGTTTCATTAATTTTTACACCTGGATTAGCCTGAAACCATGATCTTTCTCCCAGTCAGCCTCCCACACAGCTGGATAACAGACATGAGCTATTGATAGAGAAGGGGTCTCTGATATATGTATGCCTGGGATGATGTCTAGTTGTGATCCTCCTAATCACAGCCTTACAAGTAGCTAGGATCACAGACATGAACCACCAGTGCCCAGACACCAATTTGTCCCATTTTTATTACTGGAAGATACAAATTATATGGCTATGCCATCATGTTTTACCTCTTTATAAAAGTTACTAGTACTGTTAATAGACTTTGGCAGTTGTGGATAGCCTAGGTCTTTCTGTTTGTTTTTCTTAAGGGTTTTTTTTTGTTTTTTTCTTTTTGCAGACTTATGTTTCCATTTCTTTTCAAAAGATTCTTGGACATTGTTATGGGGTGGGTGAATGTTTGGGGACAGCTTCTTTTTTTTTTTTTTTTTAATTTAATTTTATTTTATTTGAGAACATACTGTACAGAGGGGTTACAATTACATGGGCAGGATAATGCATACATTTCTTACCAAGCATTGCAGCCTCCTCCTTTGTTTACCCTTCACCTCCCTTCCCAGCCTCCCCCCTCCCTCCCACCCAATCATACCCCCCCTCCCCCCCCCCCCCCGACATTGTAAAGCTGGTTTTGACATGACATTTTGTACTTCTCATTGTTGCAACAGGTCCACCTGGCTTCTTTTTTTTTTTAAGCATAATTCATGCTAAGCACTGAGCTATCTCTACAGTAAGACTTTTTTCATAATTGATGGTTCTATTTTAAGACTCCTACTGGCCTTTTTATTCCACCTCATATTTTTCCTTATGTATTTAGTGTTCTTTTTATTCAAATGTAATGTTTATTACATGTTTATTACTGAGCCCATTATTAAAATAACCAAAGAAAAGTCAATTTAAAAAATGCCCAACTGTCAGTCCAGGCAGTATTGACTTTTCAGCTTGACTGGTTCATGGTAGAGAATAAATATGTGGGCATCTGAAGCAATTCCTTAAAGACCCAGCTTGGTTCTCCTCCAGTGTCTTCTTTTGGAGTTGTACCTGATTTTGTTACCAGTTTTCATATGAATCCACTGGGGAATGGGACGATTTTGCTTTTGTTTCTTGGCCAGAAACCGCTTGATTCTGAAAGTCTTGTGAGAAGACATGATGAGAAGCTCTGGAAGGCACAGTAACCACAATGGCGAACAAAAGCTGAAGAGAGCTTATGTATTTAGTTTTAAGTTTAATTGTTTATGTAAAACTTGCTATATGAGCCAGATACTATATACTTGTCCAAACTACTCAGGAGGCTGAAGTAGGAGAATTGCTTCAGAAGTTGGAGGCCAGCCTGAGCAGCATGGAACTTGCCTCAGACAAACAATCCCCCAAACTTTGCTTTAGGAATTGTAACTCATTCTTCAATCATTAAATTTTTGTTTTGTTTTTAAACTCAGAGCCTGAGCACTGTCCCTCATGTGTTTTTTGCTCAAGGCTAGCACTACCACTTGAGCCATAGCTCTACTTCCTGCTTTTTTAGGGGGTAGTTTAGTGGAGATAAGAATCTCATAGACTTTCCTGCCTGGGCTGGCTTGAAAACTAAATAGCTAGTGTTACAGGTATGAACCACAGTATCCAGCTTAAAGATGATATTTTTTAGACAAATACTAAGCAGACTTTTTCTGTTCATACCATTGTGGTAACTAGGGATTATATTTGGCTCTGGGTTACAGGTAGGGAACATCCATCCTTCTGGCCATAAAGACTTATGAAGTCATTGAGTACATTTGGATAGACAGTGCGTTTCTCCATATGCTTCTGGGTAGTTGACCCAGGTCTGTGTGCCGGTCTTGATAATTTTGCATGGCTTGTGAGTAATGTTATAAATATCCTAGTGGTTCTTGGCAAAAAAAAAAAAAAAAAGTTCCCACCCGTGGTAGAAGAATAAACAAGACCAAATTCCGACCCTTCTGGCTAGAGAGAAGGCTGATTACAGGTCCATGTAATGTTCTGAAATTGTCACTGGGTTGGTGTCCAGCTGCTGACCACTGTCTCCTGGCACAAAGGCTCCTGGCACATGGGGGCACTTACTGTCTGTTGGATGAGGGGATGTTGACATAAAGAAAAGCTACTTTTACCTGAATAGGTAAGGGAAAAGTAAACTGAGAATGTGGCCTTTGAGCTTAGGATGAGGACCTAGAAATTCAGTAGTGAGGAAAGACAAACTGTAGTAAGCCAGATGAGTCACCACAGGCAATGGCTGTAGGTGGAAGAACTTGAGTACAGGAGTCCAATTTGTTCTTGAAGTGGAAAAGTAGGTGATGTGGGCAAAAAAGCAGGTGGACCAATTCCTAGAGGGCCTTAAGTGTTGAGCTCAGAAGATCTAAGGGTATGCAGTTTAGTATTTAGCCAGGGGAGGTTATAAAGCCTTGGAGTGACTACAGGAGCCTGATTTCAAGAGTGCTGATCTGCTGTGTGGGCTGAGGAAAGGCTTTGGGGACAGCTCACTGAGACCAGTGCAGAGGAGTGGAAAGAAAGCCCAACTATACCGTGCTGCTTTGCCTTATGAGCCACTTTTCAGTTAATTGAGTAGTGTGAAGTATTTTCCCATTAGTGTGCACCAGCACTCTTACTTTTTATGTGTGTGTGTGTGTGTGTGTGTCAGTGTCAGTGTGTCAGTCGTGGGGCTTGAACTCTGGGCCTGAGTGCTGTCCCTGATCTCTTCAGCTCAAGGCTAGCACTACCACTTGAGCCATAGTGCCACTTCTGGTTTTCTGGTGGTTAACTGGAGATAAGAGTCTCATTGCCTTTCCTGCCCAGGCTGGTTTTTTCTTTTGTGCAGGTACTGGGGCTTGAACTCAGGGCCTGAGCATCCTTTAGTTTTTTTTTCACTTAAGGCTGATACTCTGCCACTTGAACCACAGCTCTACTTCTGGCTTTTTAGTATTTAATCGAACATATGAGTCTCATAGACTTTTCTTTCTGGACTGGCTTTAATCCCCAGATCTCAGTCACTTGAATAGCTAGGATTATGGAAGTGTGCCACAGGCTTGCAATAGTCCTTTTTTTTGGTCTGAGACTAGGACTCAAACTCAGTACCTGATCTTTTCTTATTGGCTAGTGCCCTACCAACTGAGCCATGACTCCAATCCTTCTTTTTCCTTTTAAGATTGAACAATATTCTATTGTTTTTTGTTTGTTTGTTTTCTCTTGGCTGTACTGAAGCTTGAACTCAGGACCTTGCACTCTTAGCTTTGGTTGCTCTGCTGGTGTGCTACCACTTGAGCAATGCCTCTAACTCTGCTTTTTGCTGGTTATTTTGAAGATGGAGTCTCAGTATATTTCTTTTTTTCGTTGTTGGTAGTGGGCCCTGAAATCGGCCTGGGCGCTGTCCCTCAGCTCTTCAGCTCAAGGCTAGCGCTCTACCACTTGAGCCACAGCGCCACTTCTGGCTTTTTCTGCTTATGTGGTGCTGAGGAATCGAACCCAGGGCCTCATGCATGTGAGGCAAATACTCTACCACTGAGCCACCTTCCCAGCCACGTCTCAGTATATTTCTGTCTAGACTAGCTTCAAACTTTAATCCTCTGTATCTCAGTATCTTCAATAGCTAGTGTAAGCCACTGGCCTGGCTCTTTTTTTTTTGGCCAGCCCTGGGCCTTGAACTCAGGACCTGAGCCCTCTCTATGCTCAAAGCTAGAGCTCTACTACTTGAGCCATAGCATCACTTCCAGCCATTTTCGTTTATGTGGTACTAAGGAATAGAATTCAGGGCTTTCATATATGTTAAGTAAGCACTCTACCACTAAGCCACATTCCTAGCCATGGCCTGGCTCTTAAGATTTTTTTTAAATTAGAAAATATGGAACACTTCATGTATTTGCACATCATCCTTATGCAGGAGCCATGTTGATCTCTGTATCATTCCAATTTTAGTACATATGCTGTGGAAGCAAGCACAAGACTTAAGTTATCAGCATATTCAGAATACAGAATATTTTCTATTTCATGTATAAACCACATTTCTTTTAAAATCAATTTGAGGAGTACTCAGTAAAATTATCACAACCAACATATCTCTAGCAAGAAATGACTTTTTCCCTTGAAGTTTCACTTAGTACATTCCCCTCTCCAGACCACAAATTCTGAAAGGTCTGAGCAGATTTCTTGTCTGCTTCTGTGACTCTCACTGTGCACATAGTAAGTGTTCAGTTTTTGTGACTGAATAGTCAAACAAAGCTGGTGTCTGTATGGCATTGCACACGTATGAACCCTCTGTTTTTGTGACATTGTCAGGATGAGCAGCTGAGGGCTCTGGTGCGGCAGTTTGGACAGCAAGACTGGAAGTTCCTGGCCAGCCACTTTCCTGTGAGTACAGCCCCTCTGTGGTCCCTCTCCCAGAGCAAGAACTGCTAAGAAGATATGGAAGTTCTCCCACAACACCATCTATGTGGGACCTTTCCTCTCACAAATCTGATTCGCCTTGTTGGAAACATCATGCAGCTGCTTCAGCAGTTTTGGTAGTCTAGGCTTAGAGACTACTTAGTCTACTTAGAGCATGGATCCAATCACATGTTGGTATTTCTTCCTGAAAAAGAGGTACACACAGATACTGTGTTTCTACACTGGGCCTAAAGTAGCAGACCTCCTGGTCAGCCCCCTGAAATGCTGACAGTAGGACCACACCTGAATATTAACTTTCCTGACAATGAGGGGTCTCCACACTCCAAAGCTGCAGGTGTCTGGGAGAGTGTATAGCCAGAGCCACCTATCTGGCTAATTCCCTGGGTCCTTGAGGCTTCTCAGGGGTTAAGTCACCTAATTCCTTTGCCCCACTTACCTCAACTCCTTCCATATAATTTCAAAGAATATTTATTGCACTGGAAAATGGGGATCCCTAGCATTTCCCACAGGCTTTTATAGAAATTAAGGCAGTGACCTAGCTGGGTTTGGTGGTAGGAAGTGACTTTCTGTAGGGGAGGGGATTGCCCTTTGTTGCAAAAGGAAAGCCTCCCTGTTTTGGCCTGTGAGCCCTTGTCATGTTGTGTGTGCATGGGACAGAATACACCCACTGAGGTGTGCCTGAACTCAGTGCTCAACCAGAATCTGATCTCCTGGTGTCAGAAGTTGTCACAGATTACTGTTCCTGTTTTCGTTGCAGAACCGCACAGACCAGCAATGCCAGTACCGGTGGCTGCGGGTTTTGAATCCAGATCTTGTGAAGGGTCCATGGACCAAAGAGGAAGACGAAAAGGTAAGAAGAGAAAGAAGACGAGTGGCATGTGGCTGCACACAGAGCTCACCCACTACAGGTGAAGTAGGCACTGAAAGGCTGTACTTCCGCTGGGCAGAGGTGCTCCACTGAATATGGAAGTGAGTCATCCCAATGGTCGGCCTTCATATGGCTCATGCCACTCTAGTCTCAGGTGTTTCCCAGGCTTTCCCCTTATGGGCCAAGAGCTGTTGGGCTTCTAAATCCCTGCTCTTTAATTGGTAACAGCACTCGCCACATAAGAGTTGCGAAAGGTAATAAGTGATGTATGTGTATAAGGAGCTGCCTCAGCCAAGAGCATCTGGAAAGTGTGTATGTCTGTGTGTGTTTAGGGCTTGAAGTCAGGGACTAGGCATTGTCCCTTAGCTTTTGTGCTCAAGTCTAGAACTCTGTTGCTCGAGCCACAGCTTCACTTTCAACTTTTTGGTGGTTAATAGGAGATAAGAATTTCATGGGCAGGGACTTTCCTGCCGGCCTAGCTTCAAACCATTATCTTCAATTCTCAGCCTCCTGAGTAGGTAGGATTGCAGGTATGACCCACTGGCACCTGACCTGCTGTTCCTTTTAATGGTATGATAAGGATCACACCACATGTAATCACAGGATTTAGAGCCTCAGGAGACCTTGCTTCAGTTGGTCCCCATAGTCCTGTGAGGTGGGCAGAAGAGTTGTTATTCCCTTTATATAGGTGTGGAGACCACGGTGCAGAGTTAATCATGTCCCAAGCTAGAAAGGAGCAGCATCATAACCATCCACAGCTGCTTTTCCTGTGTTTCCTAAACTTCCCAAGCCAGCCCAGAATATGTCATTCCACACTGGCAGACAGCCTACAGGGAAAAGGAGGAGATGAAGAGTACTAGCTATTTTTCAGATCTTTTTCTTTCCCAAATCAGAATGATAATCAGTTGCTGTAAAATTTTAAACTGTACAATAATCTGGGCACAGCAGCACATACCTGTAATCCCAGTTCTCAGGAAGCTGAGGTAGAAGGATCACAAGTTCACGGCACCCTGGGTTACATAGCACAATTTTGTTTCTAACCCTAGAGTATTTCCTTTTGCATAGAAGTGTACACGCCCTTTAGTTTGCTGTGGCCTGTGTGCATATGAGCTTGTGTGTCCAGAATTGAGAGGACTCTGGTTTGGCTTGGGTAACTGTTGTGGTTTGTGTTCTGAGCAAGGGTACTTGGCAGAGGGGCAGTTGGTAATTGAAATCCAACCCTGGATAGCCATAGTTCTGAGCCTTTCTAATTTCCACAAAAGTGCTGGAAGGGTTCATGGTGCCCTGAAGTGGGGCTGGGCTAAGAATGTCTTATCTGTTGCCTGCTGTCTTTTAGTTTATTGTGGTTCCATATTGAAAAGTGAGCCATGGGTGTCCTGGATAGGGAGCTTTGTAAGTAGATCCTCTTCTGCCCTTCTCAAAGAGGGAGGCAAGATGCTGGCACTTGGCTTGATCTTTACTCAAAGATTTTAATTACCCTTAGCCTTGATTTATTCTAGACAATGTGTTTAAGATCCTCAGTCACGTAGGCCACACAAAGTCATCCCCAATAACAACCACAGTGGCTCACATGTTGCCTATAGACTGGGTCAGTGGCACCTCAAAGAGGATACCCACTTGTATAGTCAGTGGCATCTCCCAGGGCCACAGTGACAACCCTCTTGGATATGAGGGTGCTAAAGTGTAGTGTGGAGGGGCAGGCCCCTCTGGTTCATACAGGCTCTTCTTCAAGGTCATCGAGTTGGTCAAGAAGTATGGCACGAAGCATTGGACACTAATTGCCAAGCACCTGAAGGGCCGGTTGGGGAAGCAGTGCCGTGAGCGATGGCATAACCATCTCAACCCTGAGGTGAAAAAGTCCTGCTGGACTGAAGAGGAGGACCGCATAATTTGTGAGGCTCACAAAGTGCTGGGCAACCGCTGGGCTGAAATTGCCAAGATGTTGCCAGGGAGGTAAGACCTTCTGAAGGCTTGGAGATTGGAGCAGACAGCGTGAGGTTCCAAGAGGTGAGGGCCATGCCAGGCCTTATGATAGGAATAATCTATTCCCTACTCTTCAGCTGTTTTTCCAGAGAAGGCTGAGTGTTCCAGAAAGGTTCTTACCTTAAAAGAACAGTGTCCAAGGGAAGTTTTAGCTAGAAAGAAAGGCAGGCTGTAGTGTAACCTGTTATTAAAAGAGTTATGAAAAACATCAATCTTTTGTCCCCTTTTCAAGTTCCTACTAAAACATAAAGAATCTTGATAGGTATCCCAAGTTGGCCTTACAAGATCCTCTTTCCTCAGCCTCCCAAGTGCTGGGAGTGTCCCACCACACCTTGCCAGACCCATTCCAAGAAAATTCTGATTTTATCTCCATAATTATAAATAGTTTTTTAATCTTAGTTTTCATCTAGGAGATTTAGTTTTTTTAGATATTACTATTCCTCTTACCTCCCATTGCCCTAATATACTACTATAATTTTTTTGTTATTGTTGAGCTCAAGACTGAGCACTGTCCCTCATCTTTTCTCCTCAAGGCTAGCACTCTACCACTTTGAGCCACAGCACCACTTCTGGTTTTCTGGTGGTTAATTGGAGATAAAGAATCGCATGGACTTTCCTGCTCAGGCTGGCTTTGAACCTCCAGTCTCAGCTCTCACCCTCTTCCTGAGTAGCTAGGATTATAGACATGAACCTCAGCACATGGCTTATTTCCTTTACTGACATTTAATTTTTTTTCCTGGAGTTAAACATTGCCTTGTTTTTTGCTTTTTGGGTTTTTTTTATGCTGGTACCAAGGCTTGAGCTCTGCATTTTGGTGCTATCCCTTTACTATTTGAGCCGTAGTGCCATTTCTGGCTTTTCTGTGGCTAATTAGAAAAGTCTCACAGACTTTCCTGCTTGGGCTGCCTTCAAACCTCAGCTTTTAGCCTTTAGAGTAGCTATGATTATATAGTATGAGCCTCCAGTACTCAGTCTTTCTCTCTCTCTCTCTCTCTCTCTCTCTCTCTCTTTTTGTTGTTGGTTGTGGGGCTTGAATTCTGTGCCTGAGCACTGTCCCTCAGCCCAAGGCAAGCACTCTATCACTTGAGCCATAGCACCACTTCTGGTTTTCTGCTGGTTAATTGGAGATAAAGAGTCTTACATACTTTCCTGTCCGGGTTGGCTTTGAACCCCGATCCTCAGCTCTCAACCTCCTGAGTAGCTACTATTATAGGTGTGAATCACTGATGTCCAGCCCAGTCTTATTTTTTTGTGGAGTAGAAAAACAGTAGGATATCAACTCACAGGACCTAGATATTCAAATACTTGAACCATGCTCCCAGCCCTTTTGCTTTAGTTTTTTCTTGAATAAGGTCTTGCTTTTTGTCCAGGTTGGCTTGTATTACAGTCCTCCTGTTTATGCTTCCAAATCACTGAGATAGGCATTCCTACATTCCTGGCTGTTCCTCTTTTTAGTCCTACAAGTTCTCCTGTCAATTCCTTACTACCTTGTGCCTGTTGTATACTTCATTGGGTCTCATTCTTTGGGCTTGCTGGATAGTCTGCTGTTTCTTCGGAGAAATTTTGTCTGTTCTTCCAGACCCCTGCATAGTGCTCATGCCTGCCTTCTAAGTGATGTGTATCCCAAATGCAAGTAGGTAAAAATGCCTAATTTTCTCCACTAGATGAGCCTATGTGACAACGTTTAACCTGCCTTATTTGCTAG